GCGTAAAAAGACAGTATAAGTCATTATAATCCATAATTATGTCCCCACTGGATGCAACAAATGCCTCGTTTATAATGGGTTTTAATGTTTTTGTCTCTTTGCTCCGGCCAGGACAGGGCATCACAATATGGTAGGGGCGTAACATTTCCGTCACACGCTTGAGGTATTCAGCCAATCACAATGCACTGGGTAGCTGGCCAATCAGAGCACACCTCAGACCGATGAGCTTTGTAAAAATCGACGCGTTTCAGGAAGGCGGGGCATAGAGGAGAAACAATAATGTACAGTATGTGGAAAATAATGTGTTTTTTTTTTTACTTTAAACCGCATAAACACATTTCATTACACCGAATACACAAAATTATGTTCTTTTTAGCAAAATCATATGACCCCTTTAAGTAACAGATATGGGTGTCATGCCATAACATTTTAATACGACTGACTTTATATTTAATGTGAATTTAACATTGAAAGTTAATGTGAATAAAACATTGTAAGTTAGGCTACTTATCATAACACTTTCATTGTACAGAAAAAGAGCAAAGAAAATGTACATTATCAAAGAACATTTTCACTGACAGTCTAGAGTTCAAGCACTCTCAAAAACTCCCATTAAAATCACTGAAGCTGTTTACACTGTGAAATGAATATCTTACTTATTTATACACACATCTGCACTTTGTTGTTTCTAACGAGACAATTCGCCAGAAAGAGGTGTTCAGTCAGCGAGCGAGTGAAGAAAACACAGGCATTTTAGCGATGACTCATCTAAACGCCTCTGATTGGCCATTGCACTCATAAGCTCAACAACATCGTGTGTGATTGGTTATAATGCGCAGTGCTGTAAAAACGCGTCTGTCTCTGGCTCAGCGCCAGACAGCGATTTGAATTTTAGCAGCTGATGATATGACGTGCTGAACGATTTAATCATGCTGGTGTGATTGTATCAAATATAGACAATTTCAAATATAGTCTTTTAGAAGCTGCATTCAAAATCCACTTGGCTCAAAATTCTGAGGGGGCACGTGCAACTTGTCACTTTGAATGGGCACGACGCCTCTGTATACAGGTGCATCTCAATAAATTAGAATGTCGTGGAAAAGTTCATTTATTTCAGTAATTCAACTCAAATTGTGAAACTCGTGTATTAAATAAATTCAATGCACACAGACTGAAGTAGTTTAAGTCTTTGGTTCTTTTAATTGTGATGATTTTGGCTCACATTTAACAAAAACCCACCAATTCACTATCTCAACAAATGAGAATATGGTGACATGCCAATCAGCTAATCAACTCAAAACAGTAGTTTCGCTTTCACAATGAAACACACAGAACACAAACACAACCACGTGACAAACAAACGACAAACAAAATTTCACGACATGGCAGCAACAATACTACAGCGAGAATAAAAGTTACGCCTTCTTTCTTTGCGTGAACATTTGGATGGCGTTATGCAAATCTTCCCACATAGTGACGTAGATATGTGGGGGCGTGTTAGAATGAGCCATTTTAGGTAGGCGTGGCTGACTCTTAACTTTTATAAAGATATATTTAAGGTACTAGCATGCATCTTTTAGGGGTAAATAAGGTACAAATGTATACCTTTTCGAAAAGGTACTGCCCCAGTGACTTTTGTACCTTTTTTTTTTTGAGAGTGTACATTATGGGGACCAAATATCCAAAAAAAGAAAAGTAAAATCTGAAAAAATTTGTTAATTGCGGAAAACAGTTTATAAATCATTTTGATTGATTGATTGATTAATTGATTGAAATGTAAAAATGCAGAAAATTTTATGTAGCCTAAGTGTTAAGGGTTATGGGATAGAATGTAAAGTTAGGTCCTCATAAAACACAGAACCCTGTGTGTGTGTGTGTGTGTGTGTGTGTGTGTGTGCTATATGGTAAATTATGCGAATAAATATTGTATTATATATTCAAATATAATACTGTAATACAAATTTACCATTTAAAAAACTGACTAATACACAGCAGATGCTGACTAGGCCTCCTCACCAGGACTACATTCCCCTGAATTCCGGTCTGCATGACGCATTTCCTCTAGTCCCACCTTTAGTGATCGGCTGGGCTCGGTAAATTCCGTAAATCAAGAAGGGATTGGATTTACTCCAAAGAGGCAGGACAAGACCGTAGTGTACTGTGCATCGAGCGGCTGCGAGCTCGCAATGAAACTGCGGTAAACAAACTCACCGGTAAGATCCAGTGTGCGTGTGCTCAGATTTCAGTGTTCGGCGAATTGTGCACAGAAATATTCGCGATCGCTGTGTGTTTTAATGTGTTATGTATTAATACGGCAAAACCGATCTCATATGCAGTGTTTGAATGGATTGAGATTTAGAGGTGCGTGGAAATAAGCAGTGTGTGCTGGACAGAGACGTGCATATAGTCCTTATATCGCATCTGACATGATACACATGCTTCACCAGTTGCAGGAGAATTAATTCACGCGCACATGAATCGATGGAAACACTGTGGGTATCTGCATTGTAATTGGTAAGTTTAACTACTTAAACGTTTGTCTCTGAAATGCAGAAAGACGGATGATGACTGATATTTGCATTAAGGCAAATGTTCGTGTTTGGTGGTTTGTGTTCGCTCTCGTTTTTCACGAGACATAGGGGGCTATGGATGAAATAAAAATGGTTACGTAAATTTTTTTTTTTTATATATATATATATATATATAAAACATTTTTTTTTGGAGATTTCAAACTTGGAAAGGCTTGCATAGGCTAAACCGCCATAGGCTATTCAGCGCATTCTGTGTTTGATAAAACTTTGCCATTAATCAATTCATTTCAAAATTAAAAATAGAGGACGCTTTATAAATAGTAGTGCATTTAATATTTTACAAACATGTTTTTTAAGAGCAGAAGTGATCTTCTTTAGAAGAATTCATTTGCAGTGTGTTTAAATTGCAACAATAACCATAGGCTCGAGGACTGAATCTTAACGTAGCCTATTACTTCCAGGCATTTCTCTCTCAATCCGCATTACCACAACCTTTCCATTCTCGCACAGTCCATACTCTGAAATTGTTTAAACCTTTAAATCACTCTTAAAACAACTACCCACATTCAGACAGCCGCAACAGTGGGATAAAATGCTTTTGTGATGGTCCAGACAGATGGAGCCCATGCTAACGCCACACCCCTCTGTGTCATCGCATTTAAACATCTCCTCAGAGCTTTGGAAATTGATACTTGTGGATTCTTCATTGTTCTTCGTATGTTTTGTTTGTCTTTGATTACACTACTCACCTTTTTTTACTTAATTTACTTGCTATTCATTCATTTTCTAAATTGTATATATTTCAAGTTGATCAAACATAAGCCTGTGTTTGCTGATTTTGAAAAAGTCAAGCATGGAGTTACCTTAGGTTTGGAGTAAAGGTTTTGATTACACAAATAGGTTCGTTTTGTATGTTGGCTTTAAACAATAATTGTTCAATGCAGCAATTTCATACCATGTATAGTAACTACAGTTTCTTACCAAACAAAACTTGTATATGTTATAATGACAGTAAGGTTGTGTATTACTTATTTCATTAGATGCTTTTTACTGCTTAAAATTAGCTGAAAATCCTATAAATTTTTTGTTGTTGGAAGGGTTCTATTGTGACAGCTTACCCCATATAGTGTTACCACATCTCAACATTTAGTTTTTTATGCTTTTTTATTCTTTTGCCAATTTAAAAACTGAAAAATGACCTTACGACAAGGAGCTTTCATTCATTTCCATTAACAGTGCATAAAAAGGTGCTTTTTATGAGTGCTTCTTTGTGTAGATTAATCATCTGTTTTGTAACTTTTTCTGAAAATATGCTACTTTTCATTGAAATGCATTAGCTTCATCTTGATTGTCGGTGTCAAGAAACTTGTTTCTTATTTAAATGCTTTTGCATTTCTTGTTTTAGTGAGATTCATGTAGAAAGTTTCTCTTACATCAAGGCTCATGTATGCAGCACATTCTAAAGGTTTTTAAGCACTTTTATGAGTCAGTATAACTCATCCTCCTCGCTAAGCGCTTGTAATCTCTCATTGAGAATGGACTGTGTGTTTTATTTTTGTACTTTTACCTTTTATAAGCACTGTAGACCTACTTTGCTTTTAAAGTCTTAAGTTCGTCTCACAGCATTCAGTGACCTGAAGGAGACAGACAGGTCTGCTTACTGTTTATGGGTTGATGGATTGCTAATGCTGATGAATCCAGTAGCTTAGGAAAAGGCATCAAGTAGAGTACTATCTGCTGTCCTTTTGACAAACTGCAGCTGCTTTTTATCACCGCTGTCACTTTTATTGGTAGCTTGCCCATGGGTCATACCTTATTGGCAAGGTTCCTGATTCTCAGCATGTTTACACTGTATAGGTGAACAAGCTCATTGACTTGCTGCTAGCAACTCATCACTTGGCACTGTCTTCACTCCAACAATGTCCCACATATTCTTTGTTAAAATACCATTTAATTTTGCAAGGCCAGAACCAGGCGAGTGTAAATGTGAATTTTCTCCACAGCACCAAACATGACTGTAAATAAAGAAATGGGTTCCCTTAATGCTATGGATCAGTTGGTTTCTATAGGGAGAATTAGACATACAGGTGCATCTCAATAAATTAGAATGTCGTGGAAAAGTTCATTTATTTCACTAATTCAACTCAAATTGTGAAACTTATGAAGTATACTAACTACTCATGTTGGTCTTATGAAGTATTCTAATTTGTTGAGATAGTGAATTGGTGGGTTTTTGTTAAATGTGAGCCAAAATCATCACAATTAAAAGAACCAAAGACTTAAACTCCTTCAGTCTGTGTGCATTGAATTTATTTAATACACGAGTTTCACAATTTGAGTTGAATTACTGAAATAAATGAACTTTTCCACGACATTCTAATTTATTGAGATGCACCTGTATGTTATATGAGACCAGTGAGTAAAGCGTGCTCTTTTATAATGGAACCTCAAACAGTCTATTTATTCATTCCCTTTTCTTTAAATTATGAATGGTCCCTTATCATGAAAAGTCCTTTTTGTTTATTTTGCCAGACACTTGGTATTCAGAAAAGCCTGCTGCTCCTCTAAACAATATTTCATGAGAAATGAGGTCTGGCTGCTAATCGTACACTTCATTATATATATTGATGTTGACCGAGCTGTATGTCAGCCAACAAAGCTTATGAATGTGCATGTTTGCTTTGATTTGAGAAGAATGTTTTTCATGGCTAATTGCCACTAATTGTAAACACTTACACTGTTCAGAAGTAATATTGTGAAACATTATTACAATTTAAAATAACTGTTTTCTTTTGTACTATATTTTATAATATATTTTTTCCCCCTTGACAACAAAGCAGACTTTTCAGCAGCCATTACTCCAGTCTTCAGTGTCACAATCCTTTAGAAATCATTCACATGATGCTCAAGAAATATTTCTTATTATTACAAATGTTGAAACCAGTTGTGCTGCTTAATGTTTTTGTGGGAACTGTTTTTTTAGGATTCTCACTATACATTTTTTTTTAGGATCCTTTGGTGAATAGTTCAGAAGAATAGAATTTACTTGAAACAGAAAATTCTGTAACATTATAAATGTCTTTACTTATAATATATTTTTCCCCTTTGACAACAAAGCAGACTTTTCAGCAGCCATTACTCCAGTCTTCAGTGTCACAATCCTTTAGAAATCATTCACATGATGCTCAAGAAATATTTCTTATTATTACAAATGTTGAAACCAGTTGTGCTGCTTAATGTTTTTGTGGGAACTGTTTTTTAGGATTCTCACTATACATTTTTTTTTAGGATCCTTTGGTGAATAGTTCAGAAGAATAGAATTTACTTGAAACAGAAAATTCTGTAACATTATAAATGTCTTTACTGTCACATTTGATCATAGTAATGCATCCATTTTTAATAATAGTATTTTAAAAAATCTTACTGGCCCTAATCTTTGGAACTGTGGTGGATGTATCAGGCATGTTTCAAGTGCATATACTGTATGCCTTAGTAAATTTAGACCACCAGCAGTCTTGGTATTTTGAAGGGCTTTTTTGTTTGTTTATTGCTGAACATGAATGGTAGCAAGTTTACAGATGCATTCAAATGAGTCTTCGCACACCTGCATGTTCTGCCCAATTCTAGTTCCATCTTGGACAAGTGCAAAAGTTTCCATTCTACATTTCAGAGAACTACTGAAAACGTTTCTGAGTCAATGTAAAGATTTGAAATGTGAAATTCTTAGCATATTGTGTGCCACATTGTTACACAAATGTATGATTTTTCAATTAGATCTTTTACAAGCCCTCATGTCATATCAAACCTGTTTGATTTTCTGTCTTACATTTGTACACAGAATAAGAAAGCTTATCAGAATGTTCACTGTAAATGAACAGTGATAACAATAACAAAAAAAAACACGTTAGTATTTATTTGTCTGTATGACAAGTCATCTGAACAGAGTGCAGCTAATCTACTGAAAATTCTGCTAAAATTTGAACATTGTTTCTGAGTCAATGTAAAGATTTGAAATGTGAAATTCTTAGCATATTGTGTGCCACATTGTTACACAAATGTAGGATTTTTCAATTAGATCTTTTACAAGCCCTCATGTCATATCAAACCTGTTTGATTTTCTGTCTTACATTTGTACACAGAATAAGAAAGCTTATCAGAATGTTCACTGTAAATGAACAGTGATAACAATAACAAAAAAAAACACGTTAGTATTTATTTGTCTGGATGACAAGTCATCTGAACAGAGTGCAGCTAATCTACTGAAAATTCTGCTAAAATTTGAACATTCTTCTACTAAACTCAGTGTTGCCCGGAAGCAATAGTCATACAGGTTTGGAACAACATTAGCGTGAGTAAATGATGACATAATTTTAATTTTGAGTGAACTGTTACTTGAAAACATAAGGTTGAGGTGGAAGTTTGATTGCAACTCCTCTTCAAATGCGGTGGTTATAATTAGCAGGGGTGTCGTTGGGTATGCGGGTGTCACATCCTTTAGCTCCAGTGAGTTCTGAGCACGACTGCCAACAGCAACTGATAAAACACTACACCTGTCATCATTCTCTTTTTGAACTCTGCTTTCCTTGTTTTGCCACTCACTCTTATCTGCACCTTCATCTTGAGTGAAAATGCCTAATTGTTTAATTTGGCTTCATAAGTTTTAGTAAAGCTTTAGGTTTGGTTGAGCTATGACCTCTACATTTAGAACCTTGATTACCTCTGTGATAAGAACCAATTATTACTATAGACATTTTTGCCTTTAACTCAAATGTGTGTCTGTATCAGCAGTAGTTCACCCAAAAATGAAAATTCTGTCATTTACTCACCCTAATATCATTCCAGACCTTTATAACCGTGTTTCCTCTGTGGAGCATGAAACAAGATATCGTGAAGAACACAACTTTGGAGCCCACTCACTTCTATTGTATAGAGAGAGAAAAAAATACTTTTAATAAAAATGAATATACTGAAATAAAAAATACT